TACTCTCCCTATCAAATTTGACATTTGTCTTCCTTTTACAAACCCGCACTGATCTTCTTTTATGTACTTATACATGCATTTATTCATTCTATTGGCTATTATCGCGGACAATATCTTTGCATCCTGGTTAATTAATGATATGGGCCTATATGACCCTGGGTCTGTTAAGCCTTTATCAGGTTTAGGTATTAATATTATTAATGATCTTCTCCATAATTCAGGTATCTTATCTCCCTTCATTATTCCATTATATAATTCTAATAATTTTGAGGTTAAAACTTCTCTAAAGCTTTTATAATATTCTGTCCCTAGACCATCCAGGCCTGGAGCTTTCCCTACTTTTAATTTCTTAATAACTTCCTCTATTTCTTTTTTCTTAATAGGTTGTTCCAGTAACTCTTTATCTTTCTCCTCCAGCTTACTCTCCCAATTTTCCTCCACATATTTCCTAATTGCCTCTATGGGGCTTGCTTTGGTTTGATATAGTTCTTTATAAAATTCTTCAAATACTTTCAATTTTTCTTTCATAGCGCTACATAATTTACCTGTTTTATCTTTTATCGTATTTATCATTCCTTCTATTTTCTTTTTCTGTGTTGATTTGGCTAGCATCTTTGAATTCCTATCACTAAACTNTAATAATAATAATAATAATAATAATCTCTTCCCTATGCTCTCTATAGCTAAAAGATATATATATTTGGTTGGAGTTACACTTAAAAATGTGCCTTTTTGACTTATATACAAATTCAACTTAAGAACCAACTTACAGAACCTATTTTGTTCGTAAGCTGGGGACTGCCTGTAGATGTATTGCTTTTCTCTCAGTTTGTGAAGCTGATATCAGTGGAAAAAAGGTTACCAAATGTCAAGGGTAGTGGGATCATTTTGCCTAGCCCGTGTGGCATTTGGCCTTCCTTCCTAGAAAAAAAGCAGCAAATGTTCATTTGTGTGTGCCTGCAAAACATACACCCAGTGAATCATGTTTCTCCAATGAATTTCATAGGGTTTCCTTTCGCAAGGGATATTCAGAAGTGTATTTTCCAGCTCCTTACTCTGAAATATAGTATATAAAGTATCTGGTATTCATTGGCAGTCTCTCTTTCAAGTACAAACTTGCGCTCACCCTGCTTAGCATTTAAGATCAGATGGGATCAGTCAGTTAAATTAGAAGAAGCCTTAAAGTTTCATTTATATAGGAACAGGTAAAGTGAGGCACTGAGAATGGCAGATAAGATTAGTAGAGTGTTTCTTTGCACAGGGGGACTCCAGTCATGAAAAATCTAGTCTGCTTCTGGATATACAAATCTGCCACGGACATATGAATGGAAGCACATGCGTACCTGCCTACATATTCGTCCGTGTCATTTGCAATCTACTTCATTTTCATTGGCAGTCTCTCTTCCAAGTACAAAAATGGCAAAAACCCAAATAAGTAAGAACAAATTGAATTGAATGAATGAATGAATAAATAAATAACCAAAACATAGGACTTTTGAAAGTTGAAAAGTTGTTAAAATTAATTGTCAAGTGTATCTCAATCATATCATGTCATTGACACTTAGATAAGTGGTAGCATTTTAGGAACACTCTGAAGTAACAGCCAGCTTCAGTCCAAATGGGGAAAGAAAACAGATTGAAAAATTATAAAGGCTTTGGCAAATATTCAGGCAACAGCCAATTAATCAAGCTTGGAACAAACCTTTAGAGCCAAAACATCAAGAAATGTTACGCAAATGCAGCTGCTGTTTTGATTTGTAGAGAAAAGTATGATCACGCAAATTAATTTGTTCTCAGTAGTAGAAAATCTAAAATTGAGGAAGTTTATAAAGCCCAAATATTTAAACTCTTGCTGACCCTTCATTGGTTTAAACAAAAATCTCATTTTAGAAAAATGACTCCGGAAATAGCTTTGGTTTTCTATGAAGGTTTAGGGCATTTAATCCCAAATTTGAATGTAATATTAGCTTGCAAGCACACTATGGAATCTGCAGAAGGGTTCTATGGTGGAGTGCTTTTGTTTTTCATAGGAGTGACTGGCTAAAAGGTTGCTGCATTCCTTTTCACGTTTGTAAACTTAACGTAAGATCTATGTTAGCTGTATAGTTTGAGTTCAGATGGTATGAAAAACTGTATCTCCCTGTCTGGGTTGCAAACTTTTCAGTAGAGTACTTTCTCAGTCCCATCCCCATTAAAGGCATGTTTGGTGAGGATAAAGGAGACAGCTTTCTCAGATATTACTTTCAAGTTATGGATTTCTTTCCCATAGGTGAACTGATTGACCCCAACTCTCCCCTCCTTGCACTAGCAAGCAAAGATCTTCTTATTCAGATAGGTCTTTAGTTTTGGCAGCTCAAGCCAGGGCCGGAGTGAGCACACACCATCAGCCCCAGCGCCCTGCCCACCTAGTAGATTGAAAACAGAAATGTGAGTAGATAAATAGGTACCGCTTTAAAATGGGGAGGTAATGAAAGGCGCACATAAAGACATTCCAGTGATTTCAATTAGGAGGATGTCTAAGAACGACAAAAGCTCCTCAGCATGGAAGATAGAGCGACAGCACTCCCTGTGACTGGAGTCGAGCACAGACTCCAGATGCTGGAAAATATAGAAAATATGGGAAAAACCTATTATTTCTGTTTATTTATCATCTGTCCTTGTTAACTGAATAATCGGCACTGAATATTTGCCATATATGTGTTCTGTAATCTGCCCTGAGTCCCCTCGGAAAGATAGAGCAGAATATAAATATTATTATTATTATTATTATTATTATTATTATTATTAGTAGTAGTAGTAGTAGTAGTATGTGCCAGAGAAAGCTTTTAATGGGGTTGAACTTCTATCTTTTTTACTATGTTTTATATTGTTAACTTCTGTTTTTAATAGAATAGTTTTAACTTGTGTTTTTAACAGAGGTAAGCACTCTTAGGCCCTATACAAGCAGAAAGGAAAAATGAACAAAGGCATTTTTTTAAAGAATCAATCAAGCTACAACAGGGCCAGTGGGGAAAGATGGTGGGAGTGGAAGTTCAGCATCTGGAGAACTGTATAATCCTAGCCTGATTGACAGTGATGCCACGGACAATTTCAATCCAAAATTCTGGCCTTGATCTTGGATGATTTTGCCAGCTCAAACGTCTTCATTAAAATGCCATGGCTTCATTCCTATGAAGCTTTTAGCATGATAGTAAAGTTTCTGAAAGTATTACAGACCTTAGTAGGAGAGAAGGGAATGCAGAAATGCAACATCAATAACAGCCAATTAAGGGCACTTGCACACAGCCGTATAACCCAGAATATTAAGATAGATAATCCACAATATCTGCTTTGAACTGAATTGAGTCCACATTGCTTTATAATCCAGTTCAATGTGGATTTTATACAGCTGTGTGTAAGGGGCCTAAATGAGTCATAATCTGGAACTGAAAATTTACCATTAGGCTGCAGATTTTGAACAAGTTCTTTATCCCAGGCTGGTTGAAGAGTAGGGTTCTGATGGACATGCTGAATAAAGCCATTTTGTTCTGTGTTAAGGCTGCAAGGAGTACATCTGGACTACTTGTAATAGGAATGCCAGTGTCTCTATCCTACATTTGGATGATTCAATTAATCATCACAAATGAAGCATTCAGAATTGCCATTTTGTTAGTCACTCTTTCCTTAGAAGTTTCGAGGACCTTGTATATTGTAATGTTTATCTATGTACATTGCCAACTGAGACTTTCCATGTGGAAAAATACAGTATAACTCATTTACTATGCAGAAGGAAATTAACAGTCGTTTGATGATCATGTTCCAGAGGTATCTGTTATCCTCCAAAGTAAACTTGTTTGGGATGCGGCAATGTAATCAGGAAGTTCCAGTTTGTCAAAGGAACTGATGGGTGACTAGACGTTACCACAGACTTTTCATGCCATCTAGTATAGGCTCAGCATAATACTTAAACAGACATATTAATACACATTTCTTCTGTGCCTAGAACAAAAGCCTCTTTAATGTAATATATTTTTTAAAAAATAGACTAAGGAAAATTAAGATTCTTCATGACCTAATGACTTTTTTGTGTGTGTCAGAAGAGACTTGGGAAACTGCAAGTTGCTTCTGGTAGGAGAGAATTAGCCATCTGCAAGGACATTGCCTGGGGAAGCCCAGATGTTTTGCCATCCCTTTGGGAGGCTTCTCTCATGTCCCTGCATGGGGAACTGGAGCTGAAAGAAGAAGCTCATCCACTCTCTCCCCAGATTTGAACCTCCGACCTGTCAGTCACCAGTCCTGCCAGCACAAGGGTTTAACACATTACACCACAGGGTGGCTCCAAATGACCCAATGACTCATCCAGCCTTCATTACAACCATGGAAGAAGAAAGGTTTCACACAGCTTGTAACTCTGCTTTAGTCTAGCATCTAGTCCGAGTATTATAAAATTACCTCTTTGCTGGACTAGTAGGGGAACCATATTCAATATCACATTTTCCCATGTTGTAAAAATGGATATCATGCTTCAATAAACTTTTTCTTCAAAACGAACAATATTAACATATAATCTCTGAATCCAGATTATCTGCTTGAGTCTACACTGTCATATAATCCAATTCAAAGCAGAAAATATGGATTCAGAAACTGGATTATATGGTAGTGTAGATGAGGCCTAAGGCTTACACGTAACTGCACCTACAGCCTCGGGTAGCAAAGATAAAAGTTACAAAAGAAAGAAGAGAAGGATCTGCAAGAAAGAAGAGCAGAAAGCATGGAAACTTTGATGAGGAAAAATGTCAACCTTCATTGCAATCTGCACAATCTCTTGGGAAATGTACCACATTTAAGGACAGATGATGTTATAGCCTTACGGGATTTTAGGAAGTAATGTCATACAATAAAAAAATCTTGAATAACATATCCTGTGACAGCCATATGTAAAAGACCAGAAAACACACATTCCTTATTATAGAGATGCAAATCTGAAGAAGAAAAATAATCAAGTGAATGGTTCACATAACTGAGACATTTGTAATCTGTTTATTTAGCAAAAGTCTATTTGGAAAAAAGATTTATCTCCTGCAAGCCATACAATAATAAAGCAGTTCTTCAGCTTATCCTCATTTTCAAATGCATAGGATTTAAAAATTAGCCCTGTGATTGTTGCATACAGGAATGCCACATATGTTTATTGTAGAAGCAATGCTGTTCTTGTTTCAAACAACTCTAGGTATCTGGGGTTGGTGATTTTTAAATGGCAGGGCCAAAGACCTCACCTTCCAGCTATTGCCAATTGGTCTCCTATGGAAAAGGCAGAACACATTCACTGAATCATAGAGTTGGAAGAGACCACATGGGCCAACCCTCTGCCATGCAGGAAAAGCTCAATCAAAATATCTCTGACAGGTGGTCATCCAGCCTGTTTAAAAGCTTCCAATCAAGGAGCTTCCACCACACTCAGAGGCAGAGAGAGTCTGCTTCCTCTTCCTTGCGACACCCTTTCACATATTTATACATGGCTCTCATGTCTTCTCTCAACCTTTTCTTCTGCAGGCTAAACATACCCAGTTCATAGGGCATGGTTTCCAGACCTTTGATATTTTTGTTGCCCTCTGGACACCCTCCAGCTTATCAATCTCTCTTTTACACCGTGGTGCCCAGAACTGGACACAGTAGTCCAGGTGAGGTTTAACCAAAGCAGAATACAAAGGAACTGTGACCTCCTTCATCTAGACACTATACTCCTTTTGATGCAACCCCAAATCCCAATTGCTTTTTTGGCTGCTGCATTACACTGTTGGCTCATGTTCAACTTGAATGTCCTCAAAGAATCCAAGAAGTTTTTCACAGGGATTGTTGTTGAGCATCACCCATTTCACCAATATGTTCTTCCCCATCCATTCCCAGTTTCACCCACACTCCCAGAACCAATACTCATCCACTGATACAGCCATACACCATTCCTCCAGTCTTGACCACTTCCCATCTTTCAGGATGAAGCTATCAGCTGTTTTCTCTTCTTCCATTGCTAAGATGGCATTCTCAGAATTTAAGAGTCGATTTGCTACTCAGCATTTCTACATTAACTGCAGCAGACCTATTAAAACAGACTGTATTGAAAAGCACCTGAGGGTCTAAAAAGGTTTTCTTTATGCTATTAAGACTGGTGGTGGCTAATTCTTTTAACCTGCAATGTGGAATGCACTATGATAAATTCTTAATAGTCACATTTAATAATTTTTATTTCTGTGTGGCATCAGCCAACATACATTAAACTTTATTCATCTTCCTCCTCCCCACAACATAACAGTGGAAAGAGACTCTAGGTAAGGCATCTCCTGGCATTGTAGTCTACGATTTTAAAAACAAATGGAAAGCAGGCAGCCCTCCAACTGGTTTTGGAATGCAACTATCAGCAATTCTGATTATAGCTGAGGCTGCTGGAAGATATGCACACCCAGGCTTTTAATTGCCAAAGAGCCATAAGTCAGCTCACCACCTCTATTAAAGTTACACTTACTATCTCAATCGAAGTCACATTGGAAGGGGAAAGGTTTCACATCACATTGAATGGAGTGGTAGGATGGTAGCAAGGCAGGGGGTACTTTCTTTTGGAGTCTGACTAAGAGGAGAAGGAAGCACCACTTCCTGTCTGACAGTGTTTTAAGACAGACAATCAGTGGCATACAAAAGGAATCTGGAGGACAATGGCACACTGCTCTCAATATAAGCATCCATTCCAATCTCTGTAGCGCAGGGCAATAGACAGTTAGGATCCTCTTAAATTCATCCCAGTTGAATTTGAAACACACACACACACACACACTCTTCATGAAACAACTCAGCAGAACAGGATTTTGCTTCTGAGGAAGAAAATGCAATGCCACAAGTGGGACTTTAGAACAAGGACACATTACATTCATTGATAAGACAAATCCACTTGACCCGTACCAAGGTGGTACTCTGAGAAATGTGCCCAATGCTTCAATGCCCATTAAATCTTATGTCTTCTGACTGCAAAAAATTAATCTGTTTCCTGGAATGTGTCAGAAGAGAAACAAAACGTTCCCTAGCCCTATTAGGGCTAATCCTTTACTATATATATCTAACCACAGAATGGTCAAGTTAACAGCTATGGCCTATTTTTTTCTTTTGCTAGCACTGTGACTGGGAACAAGAGGAATACAACCACAGTAATATGCAGCTGTCAACTAGCAAGATTGCATAAAGACATCTTTGGCCATGGAGGCTCTTGGCTCTGTGGAACCAAGTGACTTGCATTGCTAGCATGATAAAAAAAATCACAATGTTCAGAATGAGAAAAAGGCGGGTGTAAGATGCTGACACTGAAGGAGCACTACTTCGAGCAGTTGCCAACATGTGTGAAAGACCCAAACGGCCTTTGATGGACACACTGTTTTTGTGTTTCCCATATATATCATCTTCAAAATCCAGAAGATCTTTCATTTCCTCATCTTCATCTACATGCAGTTCTTTCTGAGCCAAAGTCTGTGCCTTCTGCCGAACTTTTCTTTCATTGACTTCAATCTGTGCAAAAATGTCAGGGCCAGTATCAACGAACTTATAGCCTTTGGCCACTTTTTTGTTCCTCTTGGCTCTGCCTTGCTGTTGCTGTTGTTGAGAAATTGCAAATATCCTGTCAATGGCCTCCTCTGTTTGTCTCTTATCTGAAAACCTCAGCAGGCGCTCAGCGGTCTTTCTGAAACTGTCAGTATTCCGCACGCGGGACAAAATCTGTTTCTCCAGCTGCTGGAAGACTGGCTTGAAATGCTGAAGGTTCTGCTCAACAACCGCAGCATAGTCTCTTACTTCTGATACCGGGGAACTTCTAATGGAAGCAGCTCGGTCAAACAGAACCTTCTGGCGATCTGCAATAACTTGTGCAAAGACAGAGTGGCTTCTATCCTGTCCAGTCCACAAATAGATGGCGTAGGCATGCTCACCAGTGGTAATGAAAACATTCAACTGCTGAGCATCCCCATGGACACTGAAGCTTTGGACATCAACGGAAGGTCCAATGAAGAGGTACACAGCGCTAGTGACAGGTTTACGTAGGCGAGTTGTAACATTCACGTAATTAGTTCCATTGTAAGGATACCCTCTCGGATACATTCTTGAGGTGACAACAGCTTTTTCGCTATAGCCCGTGTCATCCATCCAATACATCTTGTATAGCCCATCTCGTTGCCTAATAAAGGCCCCGTGGACATCATCAATCACAGTTTCTTCAAAAGGCACATCCACATTGTGGAAAAAGCTGGTTGCCATTTCTAAAGGGCTATCATCAGCGAGATGTATTTGATCTACTAACAAGAGCAGCTGAGGGTGTATTAGGAAAAGGTTTCTTTGGAGGCTTTTCAATTTTAGTTTGGGGTTGTAGGCACCCACCCCTTCACCCCTGATAAAGATGATCCCACTTCTTTCCATAGCAGCAACCACTCTCCCCTGACAGTCTGCAGCCAAGTCGTGTTTGTACTTCAACCACTTTGATGAGCAGTCTTCTGTAACTTGTCCTTCCCATGGGTAGAAGCAGCTCTTTGACATAGCTGGAGAAAACATCAGCACATTGTTTAAAAATGTGTACTTTGGGCCATACAGAGCTTCTGTTATGAAAGGTACACCATTAGGTGCAAAAGTAAAGGAGTTCTGATCTGGGTGTTCATGGCCAGCATTGAAGTTCCGCCAGCCTTTGATCCAGTCTTTGTATTTGTTCCTGTGAACAATATCATATATTGCACGGCCTCCAAGCTTTCCTGATTTGAAGGAGAGGAAGGGTCTGTTGATTTCAGCTGGCAGTGCACTTCCATATGTTACAACTCCCCAATCCTCAAAATAATGCAGTTTTGGAATACCGTAGTCTGGTGGAGGTACAAAACCCAGGCTGGCATCATACCTTAAGAGAAAAGAGAAAACAATATAATGTTATGACAATGCTTGGCACTAACCAATCTTGCTCATCAATCGGTGGGGACTGTAGTAAACTACATTATGCCCTCCCTCCTGCAGCATTTAGCACTATAAAGACTTTTTTTTTGGATAAAGGATAAAAAGTAGGTCAGAAAATCTTTTAGATGAAGAGACTCACAAAAGAGGAATGGCAACTTGAGAGAGGAACTGCATTTGAAAGTGAGAGGAACAAAAAGATAATCCTAAGATCCTGGAAAATTGGTCCATATAAACTTAGGAGTGTTGTTTCTAATTTGCAAGTGCTTTCTTCTGTATTGATTTTCTCCCCCTGAGACTATTATCGCAGTGTGAAGGGAAATTATACTAGCCTCTTAGATAGCAAAGAAAAAAGAAGAAGGATATGCTTCATCTATATGAATGTATCCTTTTGTTTCTTTGAAAAAAAAACTTTTTAGTATTGCTGTGTGTTCAACAGCACCTTAAATTTTTGTGTGAGGTAGAAGTGAGGTAGAAAAGTGCACAGCTATACAGCATTGTCAACTTTTTCCTAGGCTGAGTTGAGGGCCCTTGTGGACAGAGTATCAGCCTACCTGATGCAAACATTTTATCTTCTGTGCAACACAGTCAACATCTTTGTGTAAACAATTTTTTTCATACAAAAATCCAAAAGGTGAATAACCATGAATAATGTTTCTCTGTAACCAATTTGAATTAAAGTAAAAACAGAATGAGTACATCAGCTGATCGAGCACGCATAGATTTGGGCTGAAACAACTGCCAAGCCAGTGAGTCTAATACATTCTCCATTCCAATGTTCACAAACTTCATAAGACACATGACCAGATTACAAATTTCTGTGCAAAAGCAACTGATATGATTGCCACATACCTGGGAGCAAGCTTCAGTGAACTCAGTGATAACTACTTCTGATTTGATAAGCATATGATTACACTGTAAGGCTGAAATCCAATGCATACCTTCCTAAGAGTGAGAGGCACTGGGACTGACTATGGAATAGAGAAGCAAAGGATTGCACTGCCAGGGCTAGTTCATAATGCACAGTGAAACAGAAAATATTTTCCTGCATAAACAAATTAGATCTGATCCCATCTAAAGTATCACTGTATATAGAAAAGTAGCTTGCTAGTGTAAATTAGGCTCCCTCTACACTGCCATATAAAATCCAGATTATCTGATTGAACTGGATTATATGGCAGTGTGGACTCATATAATCCAGTTCAAAGCAAATAATATGGATCATCTGATTTGATAATCTGGATTATATGGCAGTGTAGAAGGGACCTTAGAGAAAGGAATCAAGTATTTCCTTCTACATAGTACACTACATTTGTAAAAACAGAGAGAGATGGTTTTTTGGGCAGGATGGGGATATTGGGTTTTGCAGTGGGTTAAACACTTGTGTTGGCAGGACTGAAGACCGACAGGTCACATGTTTGAATCTGGGGAGAGTGTGGATGAGCTCTCTCCGTCAGTTCTGGTAAAACATCAAAAACATCATGGCGTTCCCTGGGTAACGTACTTGCAGATGGCCAATTCTCTCACACCCAAAGCGACTTGCAGTTTCTCAAGTCGCTCCTGACACACACGCACACAAATTGCCAGGTGAAAAAATGGTCATGGTTATCTAACTTTAATATTTGTGTAGAAGAGGGAATTTCAGTGGCCACACCCTATAATATACACCTAATAAAAGTGAGAGCCTTATTCCTGTTTACACCTGGCTTTGAGGATAGGATCATAGAATCATAGCTGGAAGAGACCTCCTGGGCCATCCAGTCCAATCCCCTGCCAAGAAGCAGGAAAATCACATTCAAAGCACCCCCAACAGATGGCCATCCAGTCTGTTTAAAATAGTCTGCTTTCCCCAAATCCCCACAATCTTTTGTTACTAATACCTAATAAAGCTGTGCAATGCTAACTTCCCAATATCACTTCATTTTAAACAATGATAGCTTTTTGAAGATAAACTATCTGGTCTTTACCATGAATTACTATTATTTGTTAATTATTACGTGCAACTTTAATCCTGTGTATACTTTCCTTGGTATAAGCTTGACTGGACACAAAAGAACTTCTGCATCAGATTGCACAATTCAAAGACCTGAAGCAGCAATATTGCAGGATATGATTGGTCCTGGATATATCAGATTCAATGTAAAAAGAGTGCAACTTCTAGTACTAACAAGGAAAGAACCCTCCAAAAGCTCTCCATATAACACACATTGTAAAGATTTACTTGTCTCATACCAAATAAATTCAGTATGAAGGGTGCACCATCGCTGCCCTTTGGATGGGGTTCCTGGGCCTTCAAGGACTCTGTTCCTTCTGATCTGATCAGCCAACCAATTTCCACTACCATTGCGCATAATAAACTTGTCTAGAAATACCAGCTGGCTCTCTGGTCCATAAAACCAGTTGTAGTTGGAATCTGCAATAGCAACTGTTCTTTGGAATCCTAGTAGGGAAAGTAAAAAAAACAAACAAACATATACACAAGTAAGAAAATTACCTAATATTGTGTATCTAAGCACAGTGAGGGAACCATCACACTAATATCAGGACTCCTAGGGAACTATATTACAGTATCGTTAGCTATGTGCTAGACAACCAATAAATTTATTGCCAGCATAATGATTATGTTTTTTTTTATAAAATTCATGGCTTTTTTCATGCAATAGTCCACTTAGTAAAAAGGTAAAGGTTACCCCTGATATTAAGTCTAGTTGTGTCTGACTCTGGGGGGTGGTGCTCATCTCCATTTCTAAGCCTAATAGCAGGCGTTTTCCATAGATGCCTCAAAGGTCATGTGGCCAGCATGACTACATGGAGTGCTGGTACCTTCCCGCAAAAATGGTACCTATTGATCAACTCACATTTGCATGTTTTCGAACTGTGAGGTTGGCAGAAGCTGGGCCTGGCAGCGTGAGCTCACCTCGCTCCCCAGATTCGAACTGCCAACCCTTCAGTCAACAAATTCAGCAGCTCAGTGGATTAACTTGCTGCACCATCAGGAAGCCCTAACAGTCCACTTAAGTTATATTTTAAACCATGGCTTCTTACTTGTGGCAGTTGGTGGTTTTTATATCAATGGGGCAATGCATAAAACTCTGGGTTTAACTCAGAACTTAAAATGAGTCAGTGAAATTAATCTTTTTGGGGGGATAAGGTCTGGCACCCTGCAAAACTCTTTCAACCTAACACTTGGAAAAGATTTACTGTCTCATTGGTACGTGTTACCATGCAAGTTTAAACCTGCATATATTAGATTGCTTGTTTACATTTCAAATGCCTCTGGCTCTACTTTCTCTTCTGTATAAATAAGGAAGGGCCCTGGCAATCTCGATTGAAATCCTAACATACAGTTCTTCTGGCACAGGAGGGCATGGAAGTGCTCTTCTGTTGTCAAGAGAAGACTATATGTACATCTACAAAAAAGGAGGTTGTGTATTGTCAGCTGCACATCCCAAGCCAGGGTCTGAGGGATTAAGATCATCAACTAAATTAACCTGAGCCCTACTAATTTCAAATGAGGGGGGCAGGAATCAAAGCAACAAAGATCTGCTGGGCTTGCTCCATCCTTTCCACCTTCTGCCTTGATCTGTGTAAACCAGCATAGCTTTGGAAATGATACATAAATCTCCCCCTATCCCTTCCCACCTGGGATGTTCTGCCAAAGCTCATGTATTAGATTTACGCTTGTACAGGACACAAACAACATATAAAACAGAAGATGAGAAGACACCCAAGTCTGGATCATGTTGATCCAGATGATACAACCTGTATACACTTCAGAGGATGGAAAAGTTACTTTTTGAGTATTGCTAATGACTGGAAACCATGCTGGCCAGGATATTTTGAGAGCAGAATTTATATTAGCACACAGCTTGCCACTGTATTTCACAACCACAACCCACATCTGAGGATCTAATAGTAATGGATTTTTAAGTAAATGGATTGAGCTACTTGCCTGGCAGAACTGTCCTATACATAAAAGCAAAATGTTGTTTTAGCCAGGGATGGTTAAAGTGGTTAATGTCAAAGTGCCTTTGGACAAGGAAGATATACTGGAAAAGCGATCTGGTGGTGTAACTGCCATAAGCTACTCCTTCATACAGAGATCCATCTGTCACTTCTTGCAGCAGAACTATAGACTTCTCCATGATTGCTAGGACTTGCTTAGTCCACAGGTATGCTTCCTGGAGATAACCTGGAAGATGAAATACAGGTGTAATGTCAATATCATCCATATATGACTAAGTCATTGTATTGACATGAATGTAAATAGTTGTAGCATTATATGGAGAATCTAAATACACACAAATCCTAACTAAGAATCGAGAAATAATCAATCATTCCCTAAATCTCAGTTTTGTTTTTAAAAAAGGAACTCTGAAACACGAAAACAAACTCAATAGCTATGTTTCTTCAGAGAGCCAACATGATGTAGTGGTTTGAGTGTTGGACTATGACCCTGGGGAACATGTTACAACTCCTGCTTGGCCATGGAAATCCACTGGGTGAACTTGGATCATTAACACACTTGCTCAACCCCAGAAAATCCCTTTCTAGGGTTGCCTTATTGTTTGTTGTTGTTGTTCATTCATTCAGTCATTTCCGACTCTTTGTGACCTCCTGGACCAGCCCACGCCAGAGCTCCCTGTCGGCCGTCACCACCTCCAGCTCCTTCAAGGTCAAGCCAGTCACTTCAAGGATGCCACCCATCCATCTTGCCCTTGGTCAGCCCCTCTTCCTTTTTCCTTCCGTTTCTCCCAGCATAAGTCTTCTCTAAGCTTTCCTTTCTTCTCATGATGTGGCCAAAGTACTTCATCTTTGTCTCTTCTATCCTTCCCTCCAATGAGTAGTTGGGCTTTATTTCCTGAAGTATGGACTGGTTGGATCTTCTGGCGGTCCAAGGCACTCTCATGGTTGCCTTAGTGTTGCCTTAATTCAGAAATGACTTGAAGGCATACAACAACACCTATCCATAGCATTATACAACTATCTGGAATGGGATCTTGGGAATGTTATTTTTTGAACTACAGCTTCCAGAACTCACCAGCTGGAATGATCGCAGGCTGGGGCCAATTCTGAGACTTGCAACAATACAAAGGAATTTTCTCAAGCTTTTAATCTAGAACATATATTTTTCAAGCAGAATACGTGTAAAAATATTTGCAAATGCATTTTGAGAATTTAATAACAAACATTAATCTGACTGCTAACTTATTTAAACAACGTTTTTCAGTTGAAAGTACTTGACAAACTAAATAAAGACGCAATGGAAGACAACAGTGATCTAGCTGATGCTGGGCCCAATATACCCTCCAGCTTAGTTGCATAAGAATAGATGTTGTGTACTAACATGTATCAAGCATTTCCTAAACGTTATTCATAACTGGCAAACACAAATGTTTCAAATACACTTTAAAGAGCACTTTCCCATTTTTTCCCCCACGTACCTTGATTCATTAAAATGAGACTTCCTGCCAATAAGGCTACACAGTTGGTAGGCTGATGATTGTGTAGGTACTGGAAACCCCATCCTCGTCTATATGATGCTTCGTACATATATCCCGAGGCATTGGCAATTACCTCAAGAAATCTTTCCTGCTGAGACTTGCTCAAATAGTTGTACAAGAAGTCATAAGCAGTGGCAAATCCAACCAAAGAATGAGCAAGAGGAACCTCATCCCAGGGTGCATCATTTACTAACCTGTCAAAGAGAGGAGAAACATCAATACTCTCACATTTTAGCTGTAGAAATAGTCTAGAAAAATAACTTGGAATATATTAATATCTCACACTTTGTTAACACAGTCTCCCATTTACTCAAGTTGACTAGTAAAATGGCTCTGAAGCTCAGAAGAATATCACAAGTGACCACAATGGGGAAAAAAATCAACACTCATAGCTATGTCAACCCTTTCTGCCATCTTTGAAACTAATGTGCTGATCTTTGTGGAAAGAGAAATTCACCTGATTTATCTGTGCTTCCATTTCCAGGAAATAAAAATCACCACATCAAGGAAACAATATAAAAGTAGATATGATTATGTTACCAGAAAGAGCACCCATATGGAAGAGTGGTTTGAGTGTTGGACTAAAATTCCCTGCAACTTGGTTCAAACTTCTGTTTGGCCATGGAAATCTGCTGCATGACACATAATCTCTCTTTTCCTTAGAGGAAGACAACTGCAAATCTGTTCTGAACAAATTTTGTCAAGAGAACTATGAGACATGATCAGCACAGGTCTAAAATGATTTGAAAGCATACAAAAAGTCACAGGCAGTCCATGTTGGACTGGTTCAGAAATCAGCTGAGTCCCTGTCCCCTCTTACCTAATTTCTAAGTACAATTGAATCCTCCTACATACATCATCTCCCAGGAATTTGAAAAATCGTGGATACAGGCAAGCCTTCTGGATTATCAGCTTTACAAGTGACATGGCAGATTTGCCTAGCCAGGAGTGACTATTATGCATAGTGGAAAACATTATATATAAACAAGCTAAAGAAAAACCATGCATCTGACCATAGGGTTGGGGTAAGGAGAACTCTCCCATAAAATTGTGATTTTGACCTATCCTCTCTGAAATCTTTCTCCATTCAACAGTAGGTTGAACTACATGACTCTGTTTAAAGAAGCTAAATCCATCAAACCTACTAAGCAGAAGTCTACTATCGATGTGGGATCTTATTGATCAGATTTTCCTCTGTATTCAGTAGCTTTTCACAAGCACAACTTGAGTGTGCCTGTTTATAGTATCAAGGATGTTACATTTTGTTGAATGTATTAACTACTAAGATTGCAAATGAGAATGAAATGGCTATAGTTGTAGCAACACTGTTTATGTTTTTTTAAAAAATCATAATGGATTTGATTACTGTGTGTTCCAAACTGATTAAGAGCTTAGTACTAGGATCTAGAGATGTAAGCTGCCTGCGTTATTAATGTATAATCAAGCCAAAGCACTTTTGAGATTTACTGATTTCAACTGGAAAGTTCAGCACATCCTCTTTAACCACCTAGCATTAAAATACTCCTCCAAGCAGTGAAAAATAGTGTCTTAAAAGCAATCAGTTTGGGCTGGATTGTACTTTGGTGCCCATGAAAACACACACACACCACATACACCTGTACATCTCTAATAAGCACTCACACTATTCACTGCCAATAGATGTATGTCAATATAAATATTTTGCCAAGTTGCCAACATGGTTAAGAAATCTAGTCAAGTAATGATTACAAATAAGTTATAAATTAGAGATGGATTAGAAATATAGTCTGTGGCAGGGTGCTTTTTTTCTTCAGGCTTAGACCTTTTCCCTTTAATTCAGCATCTTCTGAAGAGCCCCAGGTGGTGCAGTGGGTTAAACCCCTGTGCCGGCAGGACTGAAGACTGACAGGTCGCAGGTTCAAATCCAGGGAGAGCGCAGATGAGCTCCCTCTATCAGCTCTAGCTCCTCATGCAGGGACCTGAGAGAAGCCTCCCACAAGGATGMTAAAACATCAAAACACACACACAYATCCAGGCGTCCCCTGGGCAACGTCCTTGCAGACGGCCAATTCTCTCACACCAGAAGTGACTTGCAGTTTCTCAAGTCACTCCTGAAACGACAAAAAAAAAAAAGCATCTTCTGAAACTGACTACAGGCTGACATGCAATTCAGAAATATATACATTTCCAAGTTTTCAATGCATTCTGTCAAAGAAAGGAACTATTTTACAAGTTGTGAGCATATAAAAGCTACGATTATGTACACTGACATATTTTAATTAATAGGCATACGAAATGTTTTATGTTTGAAAAAGCAAGCTTAACCTGTCAGTTTCATTCCACATATGTATAATATTAGTTTTGAACAAAAAGCTGAAATATGCTGAATGACTCTTTTTTGTGGTGTAAAAAACTACCTCGAAACTTTCTATGTTATTTCTACCTCTGATACCAATTTCTGATAAAGAAAAGTGGATGTTAATTTTGTTAAACTGGGGTATATCTTACTGAAATAAATGTGTATTCCGGAATGGAAAAGGCAGAATTACAAAGCAAAAACTCTGTAAAGAAATGAACACCTAGTTGCCTTTTTTACCTTAGGCTATTTCAATATAAGGCCTTGTATCCACTGCGTGGGCTATAAATACTCATAGGCATCAGATCTTAACAAGCTAAATAGGCTCAGCCTTAGTTAGTGTTTGGATGAGAGACAGCCAAGAAATCCCAGGTCTTGTAAGCTATTTTTCAGATGAAGGAAGTAGCAAAACCACTTCTGAGCATCACTTCTGAGCATTTCTTGCCTAAGCAGATGCTATAAAATTCAAGGTCATCATAATTGGACAGGCAACTTAAAATATAGAGATGAATTATATCTGGATAAATCTTTACAAGACTCTAGTTCTTCATAAATATTGGAGTAAATCACTAATGATCCTAGAAAACCAATGATTGAAAGGAACTATGAACACATTCATATATTAAGACTGTGGAGTCATTTATTTGCCTTCAAAATGTACTACAGAATCAATGGGTGTGAAGCTCTATGCAAAGCCATATCAAAACATTACATAAACTGAGAAAGATGTTTTTGTTTACTTCTCTTTTTGGCAAACCTTTCCACTCTAAATGTACAAACTTTATGAACGTAATGTATTCATGTTTGGATTAGACTTAGAGCTAACTGAATGGTCACTTGATCAGCTCTTCCAGCTGAGCACAATAATTATCTATCTATCCCATCATCTCTCTGTTTGCCTGCCCATCTATTTCATTTTTAATTCTCATCTTGATTTCCCTCCATAGCTTTTTTATTTTATAAAAGTCAGTATCACAAAATCATTCCATTCTGATTATTTTCAGAGATATATGGAACTGCTCCACATTTTCATGACTAACCAGAGCCATTCCATATTTACCAAAAAGCAAATAATTACGGACCTCAAGAAGTTATCCCCAATAAGCCCCACATTTAATGAGATATCCATTGCTTATTTTTTGTACTTTCATTCTGCCAAAATTGCAAACCCACATAGGTATACAGTACAGATGAATAATTGCTGAATTGAAAGCTACTGGAAGGAATTTGATCAAAATAGCTTGAGTCTTAGCTTGACTTTGTAAGACATCCCTTTATAAAGTAGGAAAGACCTCTGGTTCCTCCAAACACAAAATATGATTAAACCAGACAGCTTTCAATGAAAAACAAAATCGTTGAAAAATTCTAATTTGAGTATTTCATCTGAGTCCCCTCTGGGAGATAGAGTGGAATATAAAGTTTTTATGATTATCATTAACACTAATAGCTTGTGCCATAACACACACAGCATGCTTAATTATTTTCCAGTGCTGACACTAATAGAAAACTTGGTAGAGTTGGAATGGTAAACAGCAGAATGGTAGAAGCAGTGACCTTTAGATTTCTCAATATAAATGTACTTCAAATGAAATGTTTGTATGCTTATGGATTAACAAACCAAGTGCAACCTTTTCAATCCTACATCTTCACACTGATGTTCAGAAAAGGCAAAATTAAGGAAGAGATAAGAACAATTTATTATTTATTTATTTACAGTATTTATATTCCGCTCTTCTCACCCCACAGGGGACTCAGGGCAGATTACAATGTACACATATATGGCAAACATTCAATGCCAAAGACACACAACTCATATAGACAGACAGTCAGAGGCTATTTAACATTCCACTTTTCTGGCCGCCAGGGGAGCTGTCGCTTTCATCGTTCATCTTTGACACTAATGAAGTACTTCCGCATTCCCTGCATGCTTTTGCTGGAGTCTTTTTTGTGGCCTCGTAAATTGGTTAAATTAGCCTCCCCACACATAGGTGGTACCTAATTTTCCTACTTGACAGATGCAACTGTCTTTCAGGTTGCAAAGGACAACAGCAAGCTACACAATTAGTCGGAAGCTCACTCCGACCCGGGCTGGCTTTGAACTCATGACTTTTCAGTCAGAAGTGATCTTAATGCAGCTGACACTCAGCCAGCTGTGCCACAGTCCTGGTGCAAGCAAAAGTAACAAACCACCCATTACAACTTGGTATGTGTTACAGATCAGCATGTGACCACTTTTAATCCATAATGTGGTTAAACAGACCTATGATGCCATCTTTTAGCACCTGGACTAAAAGTACCATTTCCATCCTTGTTTGCCCTCCTAACAATATCTGTGCTTCTTCATCAAGGCCTCAGTTACTATACCAAGACATATCAAGTGCTTTTTTCAGCATGGTCTGTGTTTGCCTTCTCCACTCTTCCTGTAGTCCATGCTCTGAAGCACTGTCCATCATTTGTTTCTGTACCAAGCTTCCAAAAGCAGCCATCAAAATTGTTACTGCTTGTTTCCAAGAGATTTGGTTCTAGAGCCACATTTATAAACATCTCCCCTTGAAACCTGTCATTTCCTTGCAAAATCATCTAGCTTTTTGAACAAATTAACTGAGGTACTACACTCGCTTCAGTGAATAAGTCTGCACACATTTAACTCACAAAACATCAACTATTAGATCTGGCAAATTTCACTCTGACCCCATTGAGCTCAGTGTTTTTGCCTTCTTGGCATTCATGTTCACTGAAGCATTGCATTTGGCGGCATATGAATAAAACCATAAGATGTCCTAGCAAATCATGTGTTTGTGAATGTGCCTTCAAGACACCTATTGATTTATGGCAACCTCATGAATTTAAGAGTTAAGGAATACTAAGAGATGATTTTGCCAGTTCCTTTCTTATCTAAAACAATGCCACAGCAGTTGGTATTTTGTTGGCAATATTACCCATCAGAAGACACTTACTTCTTGGGAGGAGAGAAATGTCCAATCTCGATAAAATAGTAAAGAGTAGAGACATCAGACTGGCAACAAAGATCCGCCTAGTCAAAGCCTTGGTATTCCCTGTAGTCACCTACGGATGTGAGAGCTGGACCTTAGGGAAGGCTGAGCGAAGGAAGATAGATGCTTGTGAACTGTGGTGTTGGAGGAAAGTTCTGAGAGTGCCTTGGACTGCGAGAAGATCCAACCAGTCCATCCTCCAGGAAATAAAGCCCGACTGCTCACTGGAGGGAAGGATACTAGAGACAAATTGAAGTACTTTGGCCACATCATGAGGAGACAGGAAAGCCTGGAGAAGACAATGATGGTGGGGAAAATGGCAGGAAAAAGAAGAGAAGCCGACCAAGGGCAAGATGTATGGATGGTATCCTTGAAGTGGCTGGCTTGACTCTGAAGGAGCTGGGGGCGGTAACAGCTGACAAGGAGCTCTGGCGTGGGCTGGTCCATGAGGTCACGAAGAGTCGGAGACGACTGAACGAATGAACAACAACATTACCCATCCAAGTATTAGCCAGGGCTGATCTTATTTAACTTCCAAGATCAAACAGGATCTGGTGCCTTTAGAGCAGTGGTGTCAGGCATCTTAATCACAACTATTTTTAAAAGCAGGGAATCAAGCAGCTCTCCAGATATCGTTTAACTGCAATATCCAATATTCCTAACAACTGCCTATGCTGGCTAAGGCTGCTGGGAGCTACAATCCAAAACACATGGAAGATCATGTGATTCCCACCCTTGTTCTAATGCGGTGGTTCTCAGCCTGTAGGTCCCCAGGTGTTTTGGCCTACAACTCCCAAAAATCCCAGCCAGTTTACCAGCTGTTAGGATTTCTGAGAGTTGAAGACCAAAACATCTGGGGACCCACAGGCTGCAAACCACTGCTTTAGGGTATCACATATCTACACAGAAACCAGGTCTATTTTGATTTCCAGCCTATAGAACAAATCTGGAATAGCAAAGTATGTAATTAATTACCACAGAAAGGCTCAGTTTGATACTTTTTAGAAATAGTGTTTCCCACAGAAATGATGGCAATGGCTACAATGATGATGGTGATAATGATGATGAGATCCTTGCTGAAATCTTTAAGGTGGGATTGAGCTGGCACAACAACTCTACCAGCTCATAGAAAATGTGTGGGTGACTGAGAAATATGCTGATGACAATGTCGTTGTTCTCCTAACTCTGTTATATGCCTGCGAAACATGAACTGTATACAGACGTCATAGGCAACTCCTGGAATGATTCCATCAGCGCTGCCTCCGAAAAATCCTGCAAATCTCATGGGAAGACAGGTAGACAAATGTCAGCATGCTGGAAGAAGCAAAGACCACCAGCATTGAAGTGATGCTCCTCCATCATCAACTCCGCTGGACTGCCCACGTTTTTCCAATGCCCGACCACCGTCTCCCAAAGCAGTTACTCTACTCCGAACTCAAGAACGGAAAATTGGGTTTACTCAAAGTATATCAAGTCTAGATTCAGTCCAATATTGTATCAAATACAGCTGAATTAATGTTGACTCCTAACAAATGATTCAACACAAGATGATCCAGCTCAGTCAAATTTTGCTATAGTTATCTCTTGACCCTGGAACAGATTTCTCTCGTGTGTACTCCTGTGATTGTTTGGCATCGCTATGTACATATCAACTTGACCTTGAACTGTTTATGTATACATTTTTTGTATTTGGGGGTTGAAGCTTTGACAATTTCTGGCAGAAAGTCTAACAATCTATTTCATAGGAACTATCTGGAGACAATTAAAAAAAACCTTTATAGTCTGATGACTATAAGCATTTTGACAAGTTGATACTTTAAAAAAATTGCCAGCCAGGTGCTCAGTTTCTTAAACAGTTTTTGGAGTTTTCCATGGCTTTGATCCAAGATGGACTATCCAACTTTTCCTGAAATATATCAAAGTAACTCTAGCTGCCTGAAGTAAGGCATATGTTAACATAAATCACACATTTGTGGAGACTTTTCTAAGGAGTAGAATTCACAGTGTATTGTTTAAAAAATTCTTTGTTTGGTATCCGACATATACCACTGAATCACATTTATTTTACTAGCTTGAGGGTAAATACCTGATATATAAAACATTTTTTACAACTGGAACATTAAAGCTTAATTTTTAAAAAAGGAAATTAAAAGTGACATGTTGGCTTGGATATATGTTGACACATGTTTTAACATCTTCCTAAAAGGAACTGAATATGTTCTGCTTTCCAAAGAAAGACAACTCCCATCCTCCCAAAAAACAAAGATAAAATCAAGAATGTCAGTAAAATTTCCAAGATTTCTGGTGCATTCTTCCTCAAGGGGAATAACTCAACAATTGGAGAACCAAAAACCTGATTGTATATACTCAGTTCTTGTGGGTGTTTTCGGGCTATATGGCCATGTTCTAGAGGCATTTCTCCTGACGTTTCGCCTGCATCTATGGCAAGCATCCTCACTACCTCTGAGGATGCTTGCCATAGATGCAGGCGAAACGTCAGGAGAGAATGCCTCTAGAACATGGCCATATAGCCCGAAAAAACCACAAGAACTGAGTGATTCCAGCCATGAAAGCCTTCGACAATACATTGATTGTATATAGATTAATTTATACAGAAGCTTTGCAAATGTAGGAGACAAAAGAAAAACCAAAAATTACCCATCAGTTTCCTGTTTATGATCATTGTTTATCAGAGTTTGTATTAGATCTGAGAGTTGTTTGGCAACTCCCCCCCCCCCCCCCCCCCCCAGAAACCACATTTGTTTGTATTTTAACAGAAGCTTTTTTAAAAAAAATGGATTGGGCTACTTGATGTTTTTATCTCTTATGTTTTTAACACGCACAGTCATAAATAGTATGAAGTATGTAGATACCACACCACATCCATAGCAGATCAATCCAATATTGATTTCTACTTAACTCTACAGTCAACTAATGAAGAATTTTAAATGTTAACCATAGGTGGAACTGTGTTGCTAATGAAAGCAGCTATCTTAAATGCTACTCCCCACAATAAATGCACACACTTTCAACACGAGTTTTGATTTACAGTCTATTGCTACCATCTGTCAATTCTGTATCTGTTTGATGCATTTTTTATATTTTGGGGGTTTTATTTTTGGATATATTTTATGCTCATATTTGTTGTACCCCACCTCGAGCCATCAGGAGACGCAGATAATAAATAAGAATTATTATTATTATTATTATTATTATTATTATTATTACCACCTCTACTACTACTATTAGAGGTGGTACCCAGTTAGTGGATTTTGCTATTGCTTGTGGTGACTCCTTAGCTCTACTATTCTTATTATTACTGATCAAAATGCCCTGGCTCCTGGAAAGTCAAACACTGGAATAGAGTATGTGTGCAACACAATAGTCTTTAACTGATAAAACGCACCAGTAAAATACAGCAAAAAAGACAATAGATTACACTGCATTATCTTTGCTTTGAAAGAAGCAGCCAAGGAGGCACTTAGTTGGAAAGTTTGCGCTTAACTCAGTACTTTAGGGGGGAAATCAATTTCAGATTCAAGATATATAAGCACAAGATAGGATTTCAAGATACACTCCAAGTAAAAGAAACAACACATTCTTTGAAGTAATGAGATGCCTTACAAATGATTCAGCCTAGATAAAGCAAAAGAAAAGAAATGTTCCTTACACATTTTACAATAATATCATTCAAATGTTTGAAGAGCTGGATTCTGGAACAGAAAAATTATTTTGTCATTTCTTGTAGATATTGGAAAAAGCACAGGCAGGAAGATCATTTTTATATGTAAAAATCACAAGAAAACTTCACACTCAGACACTCATTCATCTTTCCAATTCCAACAGCTCTTAAGACTCTCACTTTCTACACTCGTTTAAGCACTGATGTAATTGGATTCATCTAGTTTTCAAACTTGCAGACACTCTGATTAGCTTTTTTTTTTTTTACAAATGCACACAAGCATCTAATTTCTTTCCTAGTACTGTATAATTAACAGAAATAAGAAAACACAGGGAAAAAAAACACTCCATGTATCTTGAACTATCAATGTAATAGCAGTTTGGTGACCAAATATGCCATAATACTTTCAGTCGGTAGATATGAAATGGCAATCTTAAAATTAGCTAGTCATAACCTAGACAACAGTATTGTACCAGTTTCATAAACAACGGATTTCCACGCCTGCCTTTAACAAATTGGCATACATGTTGGAACGGTTTTTCTTATTAACTATTCATGATACAATAAAATTATTATTACATCCAGAAAGATTTCTCCTGTTATGATTATTAATGGCATGTTTGTGTATATGTTTGTGTGTGTGTGTGAATGCATATATAAAGTTTAACCTGAGTTATTGACCGTACAATGAGAATAACTGAGCCAGAGGCCTTCTGTACCACCTTGGGTACTTCAGCCCAAGGTAGTACGGAAGGCCTCTGGAGGGATAACATTCAAGTGAGATGATATTATTCTGTAGAAAATCAGTCTGAGAACTTTTTCTAGACTAGAAGCAGGTTCCAGATCACGGATCTAAAGCTGCTCCCCCCCCCCTTAAAATTGAAGAATCTGTTAAATATTATGTGATTAAATTATGTGATTAAATTAATATGATGTAAGATTCTGTTTATATATATGTGTGTGTGTGTGTATACACACACACACACACACGTTTTCTCAGAACATTAAAAAAGGAACCCATTTTACTTGCTCTTGCTTCATATCATTCAGTTTTTAACCAATTAGTTTTTCAGTAAAAATAAGAAGACAAAAATCTACCAACTAGGCTGAGCTGCCATTCTTTCCATGTAATCTTTGGCCATGTCGACGGCTTCAATGTTCTCTGGATAAAGTAGACAGAACATCGCCAGGGCGCCCAAGTTGTTGCCGTAAATTTCATTCCATCGAGCACTGAAGTCCTTGGGGTCCCAGGGAGGAAGGTATTCCAATGGATTTGATAGCATAATCTGCACGGCTTCAACCAACCGCACTGCAATATGCTGGTGTGTAGTGGTGGCCTTAGTTTGCAAATCCGGAATATCCTCTCTGGAAAAATAGAGCATTGGGTAGCTGTCGTAGTTGGCATTGACAAAGGGAACCACAGTGCTCAGGATTTCGTCTGTGGTGTAGACTAGTGCAAAGCAAACCATATGTATGAAAAACACACTGGGAGCCCCCCGTGTGTAAGTCCTCATTGTGGCATTAGAGCTCCAGGTCTCAATGGCAGCCGAACCATCTTTGAAAGAGCCTAGACAGCAAAATCAAAGTGGAAAAGTAATTAATCTTGAATCAAACTAACAACAGTTAGGACAAAATTAGAAGCAGAAACGTCATACACATATGCTGCACATCCTTGCTGCAATCCCTAAAGTATTATCTGACATCCTTTGCCATAATCCTGTACAACACTCTGCAATTTGCATGTCAGATGTTGAAATCAAGTGCATGCAATTTAAAGTTTACATTCCTCCAGAAAAGGAAATCTTAGAAGACAGAAAGAGAATGATCTTGTTTGCTGTGTACTAATCTTGTTGTGTATCGAATAATAGTAATATAACAATAACAGAAACCCCAGGGGCCATCCAGTCCAATACTCTTCTGCCATGCAGGAGAAGGGTTCTGGAAGCAAGGAAGGAGTGGAGGAAAGGGTCTGCATGGTGAGGAAGGGAAGGAAGCCCTTTGCCGCTGGGGTCACCAACCTCAGCATGTTCCAGCCCTCGATGGTGGCGGCAGCAGTGTCCAAACACTGCTTCTCCACCAAGTCCTTGTTAGGCAAGGAAAGGGCCCTGCGGCCAGCTCTGGACAACTCCATGTGGGGCCCGGAGACCCCCTTCCCCATCGGCACTATATCTGCACCCCCAGGATTACTATCCCACGCCCCCTTCTGCCAATGGGGTCGCCACCCTTCTTTGCCGTCCCACTTTCAGAAGCAGTGCTTCTGGCACTTTGGCAGTCGGGTAGCAACCAGCTGACCGATGGCTCCTTTTTCTGCCATTGCTCACTTGGAGGGGGAGAGAATCACAGCCCCTGACTGTGCTTCACGGAGCTGTAAGGGCTCAGCGGAGCACACTTTGAGAACCGCTGTTCTATTCCATTTTTCTCTTTTCAACAGCGACCCATTCAGATGCTTATCAAAACCATGTAGTTTTTGCTAGTATGGGTGTGTAACTTTGCTCATGAGAGTTGTGCTGTATTCCCACTGTGAATCTTTTAAAGTGTGTAGAGTTGACAAAGTTGCACTGTTTTACTGTGTTGAGAACAACAACATTAACAAAAAGTTCCCCTAAGTTGCAGGAACTTTTCAACTGCTGTTTTACTTCCCACCAGTATTTCCTGAGTGGTCAAGAACATCACTACACAGGGCAGYCCGAAAGCGATCGTGATCTACCTTCACTGAAGGTTAAAAAGGGACGTTCTAATACATAGGGAATCTAATTGGGCATAATTTGCTTTTTAAAGGACTTTTCTGCCCTCAAAATAATTACAATGGCCTAATGTAAACCATTTCTCACTGTACTTGTACAAAGGGGGGGGGGGGGAGTTTATGTTAACACTAGCCAAGACTATAAATGCAGGACTGGCTGGTGTTCACAGCTGTGGAGCAAAGGATCTGGAATGTGGGAGGTTTGCACAGGGGTCATTGAGAACTGTTGTATAAAGCCCCCAGTTGTGACATGTCTTCTTCAAGGGAGAGAAGGAGACAGCAGCGTAGAATTCTGGAAATGTATTTGAAATGACTAGCCTTTTAAGTTATTTAAGTTCAAAGAACCTTTCCATTTTGCATGTGAAGATTTACAGCCTGCCATTTTAAAAGATCTGAGATGTTGGGGGAAAGCATTTATTTTCCACGCTTGTTTTAACAGGCTTGGAAATAGCAAACTTTACATGGTAGTTTTAAAAACTTATTTAAAAACAATCTCTCATACACACCCTTCAAAACTACCAACCAATTCATCCTAGACCTTAGGGTTTTTTCCCGTTTTTTAAAAAGGTTAAGATCCCTGAGAGGAAAGTCAGAGAATTCCTGAAATTCTCAAGAGGGGAAAGGTTAAGGAAAGCAAGACCGAGAGAGATGGATTTATGTAAATAATGAACAGTAGTTTTCAATTATTAAAACCAGAAGTAGGCTGAGGGCAAAATGGCATTAAAAGCCTATTCTACAACAATATTTTTCCTGAAGAAAAGTCATTTAATAAAATTCAGAAAAGAGGGGGAAGTATGCAAGAAGTTAAAGCAAAAAAGCCACACACAGAGATCAAGTTCTCCAAATTTGTGGGCCAGAAATCAAAGTAATAAATTAATTTCTGAACTCAGGACCAAGGATTCAAATAAGAATTTTAGACACAAAACTAAATTGACATCTTAGAAAACTATGTGCTTGTGGCATATAAGCTGCTCAGAAATAAATGCACAGAATCTAAGTGCCTACACTTTGTTGGAATAGCTGTAATGTTTCCATACAATGTAGTGCATATGATAGTTGTTCCTTAGTGATGGATGTATGAAAACTGGTAGAGGTGTTTTCCATATATCATGACTGATCATATGTATGGATCCACAACCAATACTGATTATTACTGCAATTCGTTTTCAATCTAGTTGCCAATCTAAATTCCACTGAAGTAGTAATTCATATCAACCAGAGTATATTAGAAATCATTCTAGCTTCAAAGGCAATAGAAATAGTTTTTCTGTTAACTGGACAAACATGTGACTGATTATGGCTTGGAGGCAATGACTTCATACAAGGCAAGACTGGGACTCCTGGGGTGGGCCAAACCATTTCTGAAAAGTTTCCAAGATTAAATGTCAGATGAATTTTCAAAGAATTTCAACATTTTATTACATTCTACTCTATGTAATATGATGCATGCCTGCGGGGAATGAACATCTGCAGCTGGACAAAGTGATGCCAACTAAAAACTCAGCAACACGTCTAGTTTCATACTCATGCACTACATCCGGAACTATGGTCACTTTTGTATTATGATGTCTACAACAGAAAACCATTTTCAAAATCTGTTCCAACAAAACAACAAAGTCTAACAGCTCCTTTGAGAAAATATATAGCATGAACTGCACCAATGCCCATTCCAGAGCTATTATTGCATGGAGTTTTGATTTGCCACTTCATCACATTCATTAAATAGTACTAATGGCAACCTACATCATATGACTTAGGCTTCAAGTGTAGAGATATCTTGGGAAAAGATAGTTTAAAAGGGCTACCTTTTCAGGCACTTTCTAAGCTGGCTGGCAAGTAATTTTTTTTTATTTTTTTGCAAATTATCCAGATAAAGGTGGCCAAAATGGCCAATTCTGTCATGAGATTGTATTCTTCATTCTCACCTTTAAAATGATATGGTTAGGAAATTTGTAGGAGGAGCCACAATGCCCCTTTGATTAAAAAAAACTCCATCATTACCTTTTGCTCATGGAGGATGGAAGATTGGCAGAATGTTCCTTTCTGTGTCATGTACTTTCTGGGGGCTTTCCTTCCTTCCTTCTGTGTTTTGTTTGTGCCATATGTTACCTACTCCTCCTTTCCCTCCTTCCTTCTTCCAACACGGGAATGGAGGGACAGCCCYGAGACACCTCCTYCCTCCCTCCTCTCCTTTTCCTCCTTTCTTTCCTCTCTTCTTCCAACACAGGGAAGGAGAGAGAGAGAGAGAGAGAGAGAGAGAGAGAGAGAGAGAGAGAAGGATCCCAGATGCCTCCCCCCTTCAGTTGACCCCAAAAGCCATCTAGTCCAACCCTCTTCTTTCTAGCATGTAGCAAAAGCACAATCAAAGCACCCCCGACAGATCATTATCCTGCTCTGAATAATAATAATAATGATGATGATGAAAATATGTTCCTAGTTTGCAATGTAATTTCCTGTTTAATTATGTAGTCCTTATTTTGAAAGTAGTTGTGCTCCAGAAACTTTGTTTTTGTGTCCACAAACTATGTTAAATTGGTGGTGATTCTACAAGATATTCAGTCATTGAGAAACTAAAGCAAAATATGCTATGGCAGGATGTCCCTCCTGCAAAGATCAAGTTTTTGCAGTTTAATAAAAAAATTCCCATGTGTTTATGATAGAACTAATTAGGAAATGATATTTATAACCTAGGAACAAAAATCCTAGATCAGGAGAGGAAGTGTTTCTTTTCACAAAGAAAACAGCGGCGGAACAGTGGGCAGGGACAACTCTCTACAATGTGATGGCTAATCAGCTGAGAACTCCTGAATAAAATGGATAATTTGCTAGCGTATTATGGAGGTAGGAAAATAATCCATTTAATTTCAAAATGGAGTATGCCTGAGCTGTATGGTAATCTACTCTTCCAAACACTTGACATGTTCAGTGGGATGAAGTCATTGGTCTTAGTTTCCTGAAGGATCTATATCAAACATGGACAAACTTTGGCCCTCCAGGTATTTTGGACTTCAACTCCAATTCCTAATAGCTGGTAGGCTGTTAGGAATTGTGGGAACAGAAGTCCAAAACACCAGGAGGGCCAAAGTCTGATCTATATTGCCCTTCTTACATTGCAAAAGCAGTTAAAAGTGCTCAACAGCCCCTTATACTCGGATAGAAACTTCTTACCTGAAGAGTATCATCTGACCAGCTACTAAATATTATTCTTATTAGCTCGTACAGGTTAACGAGAAAAAGTAATATGGCATGAATTGGCAGTCCTAAGTAATTTAAGAGACCAAGATTAGTTTATTTTTTCCTTTGCACCTTCCAAGGGGCTCAACAAGAATGTTATGTTACAGATTATTAACTAACCCTACAAAGACTAAAACTAAACTGCATCTGCCTTCCTCCTAAATTTCCAAATTAAGAGAATACAAATATACATTGGCAACCCAATGACCAATCCAAAAATCTTTCTCACTGCTGAACTATTTTCCACGAGATGGCTCAATAATTTGATGCTTTCTTTCTTCTGAATTAGAGTGAAAATTTAGACTGATTCTGGCCACATCTTTGGTTGCCCTAACTGCTTATATTTTCTTCTAGTAAAAACTATAATAGAAAAATAACAAATATAGGATTAAGACAAGATTAGCATAAAATTAAAACAAACAGAGCACAGGGAAAGAGAGGAAGAGAAAGAAACCAAAAATATGTAAGTTAAAACTGTACCATTAGCCACTAAAATGTAATACTTATATAAACTTCTTCTTGGGACACAGTCTAAAACTACAAGCCATGCATCTCATAAAATACAAAAAGAAAGATTTGGTGTATGGATA